CAAATGATGGTTTTGCATATTAACCATATTGATTCATTGGCAATCGAACATTTTATTCATCATATAGAGATATGAAAATTTTTATTTTTATTTCTTATTTTTCTTATATTTTCATGATTCTACTATCCTTATACTCATTGATTTGGTATGAGATTTATTTTCATCATATCATCTCCGATACTAGTTAATTATTGTATTAGAAAGTAAAATATTAAACATATATGGCTAATAGCTATTGTACTCTTGATTTTGTGATTAGATGGCCAGAAGCCACATCAAGTTTTGATGATTATTTGATAAAAGACCATCTTGTGGTAGTAACAGATGGCATGACAAGATTGTCACAATTTGATAATCTATATCAAAGTCCTAAAGATTGATGGTTAAAAATGAAACGATACAAAGGAACTTCGTAGTTCTGAAAATTTTGTTATAGTCCGGAAGACTAATATTTGAGAAAATTGATGGTGTGCTGTTAAAAGCAAAGAATATATCTATAAGAGTGATAAAGAGTATGATCACATATCAAAGGGGCAATAATCTTGGGGCTTGACTATTGAATCATAACAGCAGAATTAGTAATAGCCCTATGATTAATATAATAAAATTATGAACAACTATTATAATATGACCAGAAATCATATAGACAAATATGTATCAATTCATTAAAAAGCAAATGTTAAAAAAAATAGTTGTGAAACCAAAAAGACCATGTGATATTATCAAAATATCGAAGGTAATTCTAATACCTGAAGGCAATAAATTATGAAGAAAGATAAATACCCAAAGTATATATGAAAATAGAAAACATATAAGTATATGCCTAGAAGGCTATATGTATAATGTTTAATTTTTATCAGCCTTTAAATTTATTGTAATTTGTGAGAAACAAATTGTTATAAGAATTTGATATTGTGATATTAATAAGTGTGTGATATAGAACTAAATAGATCAAATAGACCTAAAAGTTACTAGTTATATTTTGTTTATTTATATCTTATTTATATGATATGATTCAGTATTAGTTTTGAATATTTTAAATGTCTGTAGTACGTTGACCAATATTGAGAAGTTTTGAATGTTAAGTATTATCTGTACTTTATTTTTTAAAAGTTCTTTTTTAAATCTTCTTCATTATTTTTGTGTGTTCTTTATGTGTATTGCAAGTTAAATCTGTGATACTCATAATTATTTGTTATTATGTTAATGATATATTGAAATAAAGTTGTCTTTCATATTCGTCTTAAATTATATAGTTCCTGATGAACTAGATGTAATAGTATTAATATAGTCCCAGAAGAACTAATACTGATTTTTCTTCATGAGCAGACAAAGTATTGATAGTGAAAAATATGACCCATAGATCTATATTACAACTTTGGTTCTCCAAAGAGTGTAAATGTTACAGTACAATTGGATTAAAGTCCATAACTATATATGAACTAGGAAGTACTTGGGCTTCCAAGCAAAAGATAGGTTATTGACTTTAACCTATTATATGCTAGCAGCTGTTTATGAAATATATGAATAAAGGAATCATGTTTGAATGGCTCAATCTTGAGGGGGGGACCATTAGAATATAAGTATGAGTTGATATTGGATATATTTTTCATATCAATTTCATAAATAGATATCACCAATCATATATTATATTGAAAAATTTATTGTTGGTAATGAAATATGGTAAGTAAACCAGAAGTTTACTGATATAATTAGATTTATTATTAGCATGACTTGTTTGATTATCTTAAACTATATGATGCAACAAATTATTGAAGATTATGTATTGATATCCATTGAAGAACCAGAAGATTCTTCCGAATAGCTAATATTTTTAAGAATTCGTATGTGCTGCTTGTTCTCAAAGAAAATCAATTATAAACTATCACTAGTTATGTTTTGTTTTCGAATGGATCACTACATTTCTGGAAATATATATGGGCCCATTTAGAAGCACATAAGCCATACAAGTATTCAATATTTGATAGATGTATCTATATAAAATGATACGATATGTGATTGACATTAATTTGCAACCTGAAGTTTGCAAGATTATTTAGATAAATATTTTCGGACTATGTGATTCTCAAAACTTGATTTTAAAGATGCTAGTGAATTTATATATCAGGCTTTTAATGTTGAAAAGCCTGCTTAACAAATTGATCAGGAAAAATCATTTGTTAATGCCTCCGTGAATAGCTTGATCAATATTTATGAAAACAAATTTTTTCATTTTAGTGTTGGCATATTTGATTTAATATATTGCAGCACTTATAGACATCAAGGCAACAAAATTCTCCCAATAAAATTGGCTTTTGGTTAGGAGCTAGATATTTTTCATCTAAAAAAATTAAAATGTACAATATTTATTCCTACCAATCCAGCACAATATACATAGATGGATATTAAAAGAAAGTTGGGACATATGTTGGGTAAGAACCTCCTTTTTCTTGTTTGTCTCTAAATGGAACAAAACAATGTTCCTAAAAGAAACAAATGGATTTAAGAGCCTTATACTACATAATTAGTTGACTGTTATTTGACAAAGTTTTCCCACCATAAGAGGGAGAAATTGAGTAGATGGAAAAGAGAACACATGGAATGCATTATTAATATGAAATACAGATCCTCATATATATATATATATATATCAGTATGAACCAGAATTTCATCAAAATTGCATTCATGAAATACTACAAAATATTTTACTGACCTGAATGAAAATTTTTAAATCTCTTATTCCAGCTGAAAATGCTCCAATTAGTATAAAGAAAAATAAGACATGCCAGAAGCATGAGAGGTTAATCGGTTCCAATATAAAGATACTGAATAGAGAGGAGCATACAGCTTAGAATTTGTATTGAGGAGGCATGTACTCTAGAAGAGTGTCAGGACATAACTAATTAGAAAACCCCATAAGAGGTTCAAGTACCTGAAAAGGAAGAAAGAGATCTCAACAAATTATGTCACAAAAGAAAAAATAGAACCGAAAAGGTAAAGTTGTTGCCAATGATTTTCATAAGAATATCACCTAATAAAAGGAGGATCTTACACATAGATCTATCATACAAAGTACATATAAATTTGGCCAAAAAGAAAAAGAAAAAGACGTGATTAAAATATCATTTCAATATGTGAAAATGGGCCTGCAGTCTCAACACATAAAATATAAAGTTTTTATAGAATATATGGACGTTTATGTGAAAATATAAATTTTCACAAATGATTATGATGAGACATGTTACTTTGTGGTGGATATAATTTTACATATTTGAATAGTCTGGCAGTTATGAAATGCGCCTGTTAGATATTATTATGACTCATGGATGAGGATAATTAATAGTGAAATTTACATAATAATCCTTGAAGGATCCAGAATATGCCAGGAGCATATATAAGAAAATCTTTCAGTATATAAAATATTATGAAGATTAAAATAATTTCAGTATGTATCATCATTTTATAGTTCTGGATCAAAATATATGAAATTTCCTGAAGGATTTCACTTGCCAGAAGCATACAATTCAAGTTCTTGAGAACAATGATTAAGTTAAATAAGTTGCCAGAAGCAATCAGGGCATATGTGGTATAACCGACTAAGCAAATATCGGTTGAAGAAATGACATAAAAATGATCCAATTTGTCCATGCATTTTTATGAAAAGATCTGAAAATAAGTTTGCTATAATTGTTGTTTATGTTGATGACATATATATTACTGGAACTCCTGAAGAGTTTACAAAAGTTATGGATTGCTTAAAAGAAAGAATTTGACATGAAGGACTTGGGAAGAACAAAGTTTTGCTTCGGATTACAAATTGAATACTTGAGAAATGAAGATTTTTGTATATCAAATAATTGATACAAGAAAGGCTTTCAAGTGTTTTTATATGGATAAATCATATCCATTATATATTTTGATGGTTGTGAGATATGTGGAGGTGAATAAAGAACTTTTTGGATTTTGAGAATTTGATGAAGAACCATTTAGTCTAGAAGTACCAAATCATAGGTCCAGAAGTATCATATCATATCTCATCAGTCACTCATGACTTGACATATCATTTGTTGTTAACTTATTACTAAGATATAGTTCTTCATGAAAAACATTGGAATAGAATTCTAGATTCCTTTTTGATTCACATGTTGGTAATTCCAGATGAAGTATTTCATGATATTCAAAAGATGGTGAAATATATATCTAACAAATCCGTTCCAATGAAAATCTGGCAGATTTGTTCACCAAGTCACTTCCTTGTATGATATTTGAAAAGTTTATTCATGATATCGGATGTCACAAACTCAAGGATATCAATTGATGTTATCAAGAGGGAGAGCTAATACACGCTGTACTCTTTTTTTCTTGTCTATGGTTTTTTTCCACTGGGTTTTCCTAGCAAGGTTTTTAATGAGACAGCACCAAATAGTATATCAATGAATGTGTACTCTTTTTCTTCTGCTAGGTTTTTGTCCCACAGGGTTTTTCCTAATTGAAGTTTTTTAATGAGACACGTATCTTATACAATGGACATCCAAGGGGGAGTGTTATGAATATTATACCATGTGGATGTCCATCTCCTCTTCTTCCTCTTCCTTTTCCTCTCAACTTCATCATCAACTCCCACTACTTCCACTAGGCATTAATCTTCCACTACTCCATTACCTTTCCACTATGCTTTTAATCTTGTAACTCCCCCCACTCATATTTATGTGGCTTATTGTTCATTATCTATCATTTAAGTACAAATGTAACTTATGTGTAAGACTATACCTATAAATAAGGCATGCCATTGTATTTTTTTTTTGATATACTGGAAAGCAAAGACAAAAGCGATAAAAGAAGCTATCAGTCGCCAGTATTTGAATGCATGATGCTGTCAACCATTTTAGGGTGCAGGAGATAGAGCCTAACGCCAAGCGTTAGAGCATTCTTTGCCAAAATGTCTGCCAACAGGTTTTTATCCCTCGAAACATAGCAGAAGTGTACTCTCCAGTCTCGTTTCAGCATTTTTTAATCTCCATGATTAGTTGATAGTCTTCGTGTAGATTAGACGGCTCATCTTGGATGCTAGAGAGGGCCTGTTGTGAGTCGCTACAGAGAGTGATCTTTCTGAAGCCATTATCCCATGCTCTTTTCAACCCCATGAGACAACCCCAAAGTTCAGCAGTGAGTTCATCTCCAGCCGGAAGCTTTAGCTGAAAGCCTTCTACTATTTTGCCGCACCTATCTTTAATGATTCCTCCGCAAGCTGCAACCTGGTCTCTCCTTGAGTAGGCCCTGTCAACTTCTATGGAGCTTTCACTCTCGTTCGGTGGCGAAGGTTCCCTACTGCCAGGAGCCCTGTTTCCCTGAAAGTTCACTCTAGAAAGCTTTTCCTGAGCATTTGTCATGCTGCCCAGAATTGCCATAGCTCGCGCCTATATGGTGTACACACTAGGTGCCGCCTTCGTGTGTACCCAATCGTTTCGGTCACGCCAAAAGAGCCAACACGTAATGACAAATAGCCCCTTCCAGTAACAGTCCTGATTGCTTACTTTGCGTGACAAGTTAAGGTGGACCCACTCAGTTATAATGCTGTTGAAAAAGCTGTTATGGTAGGACGGCTTAACTAGCGACTCCCACATCTTCTTTATTTCCTCACAATCTCTAAGAGCATGAAGAGCATCTTCGTCAGAGAGTTTGCATATGTCGCACAGACCTGTAGGGTGAAGGGTCATTCGGTGCTTCCTTTTATTCGTAATGAGACATTCATGCAACAAGGTCCACGCAAAGGTTTTGCAACGTTGTGGTATCTTAAGCTTCCACAGATCCGTCCAACGCACCCCATTGCTAATCTGGCTTTCTTGTAACGAGCGATAAGCTAAGTGAACAGAGAAAAGTCCACTCTTCTCCCATTTCCATCTTGCTCGAATCTCACCATTACTATCATAGACCTGTTCAAAACCATCGGTCACTTCCTTCCATTTTCGTTTGATGCCATTCCATGAGTTAGAGCCTAGCTTGTTAGGGGTGATTTTTGGCAGTAGATCGTTGCCGCAGCTGTATTTCCCGCGAATGACCCTCGCCTATAAGGAATGTCGATCATTTACAAGTCCCCAACCAAGCTTCATCATAAAATCTCAGTTCTACAGCTTCACATGCCTTAATCCGAGGCCACCGACTCTCTTCTCGCTGCACACCCTCTTCCACGCCACCAGATGAATCCTCCTTTTCTCATCTGATGAGCCCCACAGGAAGTCACGAGCTCTCTTCTCAATAGTGTTACACGTGTGGGGAGGAATATTAGCCGTTTGTATGGAATAGGATGGGATTGCAGAGATGACAGCCTTGACTAGCGTACCCTGACCTGCGAATGATAATCGAGTGGTGTTCCATGTGCTCATTTTATTCCGAACCTTGTCAAGCACAAACTGGTAGGTCTCTGAGGTGACTCTATTGTGATGAAGCGGGGCTCCTAGGTACTTCCCAAGATTTGTAGTGCTGGCAAAGCCTAAAGCTTCGCTCATTTGGGCGCTCCTTGCATGATTGACATTAGCGGAGAAGAACACCTTTGTTTTGCTACTTCTCACTCTTTGTCCTGAGGCTTTACAAAAGACATATAAGCATTTTTTTTATGATTCCCACTTGATCCATGTTGGCCTTTGCAAAAAGTAACAAATCATCAACAAAAAACAAATGGGATATGGGAGGGCCATTCTTACCTAATCTTATCGGTTCCAACAGTTGTTGTCCACTTCTTCTTGGAAGAGGTGGGCTAGTTTCTCTATACATATCACAAATAAGTAAGGGGAAATAGGATCTCCCTGTCTTAAGTCCCGCGAAGGGAGGAACTTTTTCGCCTTGCTCCCTTCCCAAAGAATTTGCATGGAATGAGAGGAGATACAAGCTTGAATAATATCTTTAAGATAAGGTGGGAAATTGAGCTCAGTTAGGCACTCCAAAACAAAATCCTACCGAATACGATCATAGGCCTTTTCAAGGTCAATCTTGAGGGCCATGAAGCCCTTTTTCCCTTTCATGTTTTTCATGGAGTGGATCACTTCTTGAGCAACAATTATGTTGTCCGCACTTGTCCTTCCCGGCACAAAGCTACATTGGTTTGGGGAAATAATCTACGGAAGAAGACATTTAAGGTGGTTAGAAATGACTTTTGTGATCGTTTTGTAAATGACGTTACATAAGCTAATAGAGCGAAAATCACAAATATATTCTGGATACTCCCTCTTAGGTATGAGAACAATGAAGGTGTGGTTGAGGCTTTTGATCGAATCTGGCTCCGCAAAGGCTGACGTGATCGTCTTAATGATTGAGGGACCAAGGGTATACCATTGGCTTTGGAAGAAGAAAGCGTTCAAACCATCCGGTCCAGGTGCCTTAAGAGCACCCATACTGAAAACTGCTGACTTTATCTCCTCACTAGTGACTTCGCTGGATAGGTTTGTGATATGAGAAGGCTCTAGTGGTGGGAAGGAAGAGCAATGCACCGTGGGTGGGGAGTCATGGTAATCATCCCTGAACAGGTTGACAAAGAAACTAGTCGCTGTGTCTTTTATCTCCTTAACATCATCCGTCCACTCGTCTTTCTCATTTTTTATAGCCTCAATTTTATTTCTTCATCGCCTACCGTTAGCTCGAGCATGGAAGTATTTAGTATTCCTATCTCCCATAGAATACCAAACACATTTGGCTTTTTGGGCCCAAAAGAGATCTTCTTGTAGGAGAATCTCTTCTAATTCCAACCACAGACTCCTTTGTAGCTGCTCGATTTAGGAGGGGAGGATCTGAGCTCCGTAGGACTTGGTAATGCCTTCAAGCCGGCCCATGAGACGACTCTTCTGTTGCCCCAGGTGACCAAAGACGTTATAGCTCCACTGGCCCACTTTCTTCATAAAGTTGCTAACATTGTTTAACCAAGGTATTTCGGTCTTCCAAGCATCCTTGACCAACCTGGAGAAGTCATCATGAAGGCACCACAAGGCCACAATACGAAAGGGTCGTTTCTGTTTGCTATGAGGCCTATAAGGGATGGTACTCAATAAGACCGGCCTGTGATCCAATTTGAACCAAGGAAGGTGTTTCACCGATACATCTATGAATAGCTCTTTAAATTTATTGTTAGCAACCACCCGATTGATCTTGCTTTCGCAACCTTCCCTCTTCTAGGTAAAGAAGGGTCCACTGCATCCCAAGTCATTTAATTGCAAGTCTTCGTACCAAGCCATAAAATCTCTGTCAGGAGGAGTTGGATGGAAAGCGGTGGAGCGACGCTCATTGTGGAACAGGGTTGCATTAAAGTCACCACCCAGGATCCAAGGAATGTTTTCATCTGCCGTAAGCTAGTGAGGTCTCCCCAGAGTTGACGTCGTTTGTTTATGTTGGGGCTTGCATAGATAGAAGTGACGTACATTCAATCTTGTCCTTTTTCCACCAGCACATGGATATATTGATCTGACTTTCTTATGACCGAAACTGAAAAATTCACCTCATTCCACGCTATCCATATACCACCTCGGAAACCGTTTGCATCAATTATTTCAAACTTCTCGAAGCCCAGCTTTTGACACCTAAGGCAAGCTTGAGAGCCACTACTTTTTGTTTCGAAGAGGGCGATGAAATCAATTGAGTACCTTTTCCTAATTTCTTTAACCAGCCCCGGTAAGCTTTTGGAGCCAGTTCCGCGACAGTTCCAGAAGAGACTAATCATGGGGTACCTTTTCTGGGGGATGCGATGCTTATAGGTCCCCTAGAGATAGCAATGGACGTGTCACTCATCATGGGTTGCTTCATAGAAGAGCCTTCTTCATCCCTGGGTCAATTCTGGTGAGCGACAGTAATATCTGTAGAATCGTCACTGGTTACGTTCAACCTCGCGTTGCTGTGTGTCTCAGGTGTGTTATCTTTAAGCAGCCCACATTCCTCCTCCATGGGTTCTTCATTTTGAGCATCACCAAGGCACTGGAATGGGTTTGGTGACCGAAGGAAGTGGCCTCTTTCCTCTTGGGTATGACGTTGAGGAGGCCCAACCCCTATACTTTTTTTCCTGAGGGTATTCTCCTTGCCTTTCAGAACTTCTGCACCCTTAGGCGTTTTTTTCTGAGTTACCGGGACCCATCTTTTATTATTAGTAAGCTCCTTGCCAAAAGATCCGGTTCTCTCTTTCATGGCTTCCACGTCAACCGCCTTTATTGCCTCCTGGAAAATCGCTTCATCAATATTCACATCTCTTCCCTTGGGATTTCGCTCTTTAGCATGTGATCGCCCCATGATCTTTGCTACATGATTTACCCCTCCTGATTTTTCAGTGTTTCCTGGTAAGCGTCTCCGTGAACGTTGGACGAGGTTCCAAACTCCGAGACCTTCCTTTTGCGGTTGTGCACCACCCATTGCCGCCGTCGGGCTCTCCATGACCATTCGAGGTCTCTTTTCACCAGCAGTTCCATCCTCCACATTGATACTTGCTTGTTCTGACTCAGCGTACCTTCTGGTCTGCTCATGTGTTGCACTAAACTCCTGTGAACCTTCCTGAGTAGAATTTGGAGCCTGGTTATTGTTGGAGACTACGTGGGTCTCTCGTTCTGGGCAAACGTCCCTATGGTAGCCATAAACACCACAGCAGAAACAAATAAGGTGCAACCCTTCATACTCGATGCGTCTTCTCGTCCCAAAGAGGTTAAAAGAGGATCTTAGTTTTTTGTTTAAGTCAATCTCGACACAAATGCGTGCAAACCTGCCGCGCTCACTAGCATAAGTCACACGGTCGATCTTCAGAGTTCTCCCTATCAAGGACCCAATTCGTTGAAAACTGGCTGCGTTGAAGAACTCAAGAGGAAGAAGTGGAATCCTCAACCATATCACAATTTTCTTATGAAGTTCCGCATTCCATGGATCAAAATTCAGTCGCCACCTTTGAACCACCAAGTACCTGTCGGAAACCATCCAGGGTCCCTCTTGATAAATATTGATCATATCATTCTCATCCTCGAACGATACAAGAAAGTAGCCGTTATTGATATCCCTCGTGGTGAATGACTTCTCAGTCTTCCACATTTTTTGCAGACTCTCCTTCATAACCCAAAGAGGTACTGATTTCTCGAGAAGTTTGACGATGAGGGAGTTCCTCCAGGGTGCACACCACTGTTCATATTCCTCCTAAGTAATTCTCAGCGTGGGGCAATCCTCGTCATCAATGTCGACACCTTTCGTAGGTCCATGGATCTTATCGTCAGCATTTTCCTTGCTAAAATAGCACTGGAGTCCCTTGATGTACTCGGCCCAAGCATCATCAAACACCCCACGGCCTTTCTGGTCTTTTGAGACTTGCCCAGATGAAGCGCCTAAAAGAGTCTCCTTGAAGGACTTCTCCTTTGTTCCAGTTACATTATCCTTAGTCTGATCATCGTTGTCATTGTGTGAGTTGCGTTTATATTTTTTCTTCGTTTGGTTTGCCTTGTCGCCTTCGTCAGAATCGCCACCACCACCAGAGCGCTTGTTCGTCATTTTTTCGTAAGGCATGCCATTGTATTATAATGCAAGTGAAGCAAGTGAAGGAATACAATATCATTCTCTCATTTTCTTGTCTACTTCTCTTCTCCAATCTACTTTTATTGTTGGTTAATTTTATAACAAGATTCTTTTTTTGCAACTAGTAATCATGGGTCAGTTGTACTTCCCCTCGTGGATCATGGATATTAAAACCGGTTAATTAATTCATACATGTTGAAATAAAGGGTTAAGGTGTGAAAACATCATTAAAGCATTTTCCCATGCCCATTTGCCAACATAAATTTTTGGAAAAATTCTATACAAGTACCTATTGAATTCAAAAATTTCAAATAATTCGTTCCAATTTCACAAAGGACAAATAAATCTATAGGTATTAAATTGAGATTTGCAAATTTTGACAAATTAGCTCCATGTCTTTTTTTCATTCAACCAGGGATTCAAACTACTTGCATAATGTAAGTTACTAGTTGCATAATAATTTTTACAACCTGTTTTAAGCTATTTGTGTATTATTTTACAAAACAAGTAATGAAAATGCCAACTTGTGTAATATAAATGGTTTCATTTGGGAGGATCTGCAACTTATTTATTTGCAACCCAATTATAATCCATTTGAAGATGATTTTATTAAACATATAATGAAAACAACAACTTGCCTAATGAAAATTATATTAGTTGCATAATGATTTTTGTAGCTTATTTTAAGTAATTCACATATTAATTTACAAAACAAGCAGCAAAAATAACAACTTGTGCAATGCAAGTTACTATTTTCATCAAGAGATTTGAAATATGTTTATTTGCAACCCAATTTTAATTCATTTGCAAATAATATTATTAAATATATAACGAGAATAACAATTTGCATAATAATGAAAGTTACCAAATGCATAATGATTTTTGCAATCTTTTTTTTAGCCATTCACATAGCATTTTACAGGCCTTTATGGCAGCATAACGGCTTATAACTTAGTATTCCCAAGGCTTTATGGCAGAAAACCAGCAGTCAATCAATTTCAATTACAGAAACAAAAATTGAAACATTAGCAATTTCGATTATTTACCAAACAATTTATGGTGAAAACAAAAATTGAAAATACCCTAAACCCAAAAACTGATCTAAATGTGAAAGACCCCTTCGGCCGAACTGAAAAACCCATTTGGCCGAACAGCAAAACCCATTTTCCGTGTGCGCATTGTGAACAATCCTAACATCATCCTATCATCCTCTTTCAACTACAATCATATTGAACGAAACACTAAAGGAAATTAGGGGACCGAGTGACGAAGGAGGACCAACCTAAAGCTCTCAAATGTGGAGAACAATGTGCGACAACCGTATGCAGTAGGATGCCACAGTGATGAAGGAGGACATAGAAAGCGATGATGATGGAGGGCGATCAATAAAAACCAAAGAGAAGGGCCAAAAATGAGGTGGGTATGGCGGCGAAGAGAGTTCGAAGCAGAAATGGGGCGTTAGAAATTTTGAACCGACAGAGCGAAATGAACAAGGGAGGGGTTTTAAAAGACAATACTTGACGGTTTCTATGAATAACCGTCAAGTAAACCGTTAGGTATCTTAAAACAATACTTGACGGTTTTAAAACAAAACCGTCAAGTATTATAAAACTTGTCGGTTTTAGGGGAAACCGACAAGTTTTGTAACATGATACTTGACGGTTATAATATAACCGTCAAGTATTGTTGGATAATATTTGACGGTTATTTGAAAACCGTCAAGTATTTCAAATAAAACTTGACGGTTATAATAGGAACCGTCAAGTTTTCTCCCGCAGAAACTATATTTGACGGTTTTTGTAATAACCGTTAAATATTTAGCGTCAAGTATTCCTCACTCTGTAGTAGTGTAACGAGAATGATAACTTGTATAATATAAGTGACTATTTCAATGATGCTATTCGCAACCCATTCTTAGGCATTTTACGATATCCATACTGTTCACATGGTTAATTTTCACCAAGTCTTGGAGGAATTAAACAAAGGCCAAAGTGTATTGGCAAATTAGCATACTGATATACCTAAAGAATATCATAATAAACATAATAACAGTAAGTTTTATAATTTACTATATATGTAATAGAATTAACTACTAAAGTGATAATATTTATTAAATACTAGTAAGTATATGACAGAAGTTACATTACATATATTTAAATGATAAATTAACATCAAGATTAAACCGGCATCTTTGTCTTCCAATGATTCGTCAGAGCTTCCCACCAGTTTATTTGAGTTTCTCCTTGAGGTACCTGAGATTTTTGCATTTGGTTTCTCTTCTCCTGCGTTTATCGCAACCATTCCCTGAGGCTTCCCCATCTCTGTGTTAACATTTAGCACATTTCTTCATTGAACGGCTCTTTGCACTGCTACGCCTACTTTGTTTGTTTGTTTTTTTTTTTTGACGAAATTCATGGAGGACGGAGTTTTCGGGATCTGCTCAGGTTGCTCGATAATAATGGCAAACAAGGTCTATGGCGGTGGACTATTGGAGGGAAGGGGAGAAAGGATGGTAGGCATGAGAGGAAGGGGATACAAGTAATTGTCAGAACTTGCAAATTCCAATTTAATACCCATACACTTATTTATTCTTTGTGAAATTAGAATGACTTATTTAGAATTTTAGAATTGAATAGGTATTTATATGGGATTTTCCTTAAACTTTTCATGGCTGATGAGTGTAGCAATACATATGAATGTTTTTAAGCATTGTAAAATAGTTAATGGTTCATTTAGCACCTTGCCGTCATGAGGGCATTAAACTGTTGTATTAGGCACTAGTGTGTTTTTTCAACATTCAACATATAAAGTGTTTTTTTCAAATACATTGAGCACTCTGAAATAATTATTGGTTCATCCAGAACCTTAAATTATTTTTATAAATATATCTAACATTCTAAAATATTTTGTAACTTATCCAGTATTTTGAAATATTTTTTCCAAGTACATGGAACACCCTAATTTAGAATATAGGGTTTAGGGTATTTAAGGTATTGAACATATATGAAAAAACATTTTAAGATACTAGATGAATTACCAAATACTTTAATATACTATATGTACTTATAAAAACACTTTAGGATATTGAATGAATCATAAAATACTTTAAGATATAGATGCATCTAAAAAAATTCGTTAGAGTATTGGGTCAATCTTAACTTTTTCAATCTAATAGCTAAGCTAGCTTATTAATATATTTAAATATTTTTTCCAACAAACATAGTTAAGCATTTACCCCTATTCTAACGCAATCAACTAATGATGAGCAAATTTAATAAAATATCTCATATTTTTCATATTTATTGTACTCCCTCGATTTTTTTTTTATAAGCAACAATTATCATCCTCCTCTTGTCCCTAAATATAAGCAATATTTATAAGTTGTCTTAAATTTTTGTAGGCAATTATTTATTTTAATATTCAATATTTTTTTTTCTCATTTTCCAAACTATCATCTCTGTCCATCACACATTTCCTCTCTTTCATAATTCTCTTTATTATAATAATTTTTTTATTCTCTTTCATATACTTTCTCTTTCTCATAAATAAGGGTATTTTGAAGAAAAAACTTTTGATTTTTACTTATTTATTATCTTTAACTAACTTTTTGATCTACGTAATAGACTCCTTTGTTGCTTATAGCAAGGGAGGGAAAGAGTATTTCTTAATTGCTATGTCAAAACCTTAAAAGACCATTGTAGTGAAAAGGAGGGATAAATACCAACTTTAGTTCCATAATCTTTTTTTCATTTTGTATAATTGATTGATTTTTTAATATATTTTACAAAATTAAAAAAATTAAATATCATTAACTCTATCTTAAAAGTTTTGACAAAAAAAAATCTATCTTAAAAGTTAACAGCTTTCCGAATTCATTCCTATTGAATATATATATATACTACCTCCGGTCCTTATTATAAGACCCCGTTTGACTTTTTGTTTGGTCCTAATTATAAGACCTCAATCCATTTTGTCTCTCATATTTATGCATTTTTTTCCAAAATAATCCTTCTAATAATGATAGTTCTAGCCAATACACTTAATTAGTAAGGATATTTTAGGAATGACAACACTTATTTATTACAAATAACTAACTTAACTTACTTCCTTAATCTCCTCAAATAAGTTAACTGGGTCTTATAATTAGGACCAGAGGTAGTATATATATATTGCCATCTTTTATATATATATGTATATATATTTGAGAAGTCTAAGAAAATAAAATTAGAGGAGTAAATGAAATGAATACATCGATTTACCACTTAATGCTTGTTTTGATTAGCTGTGGAGAATTAATTTAAGATATATGAGATAAATATAAAAGATAAGCTTTGCTTTGTAAAGTGAAAAAAAAAAATTTTGGGTTAAGTTGACACAAATAAATTTTTAAAAGCACCTGTTTAACCATTCCTTGAAAAAGTGCCCACCCCAATTTTTGTTATGACTCACTTCTACCTGCCTCAATGATATATAGTCAAGGGAAAATCCAAAAAAAAAATAATTGTTGAATTTCAAAATTTCAAATA